TTCTCCTCAGGTACAGTGAGTGACATGGATGATAGCGGAGGAACCGGTGTGTGACAGCAACCTGCAAAGAGCGGTTGTCAACGCAAACCAAGAGATATGGCGGTTGAGTCGCGAGAAAGGCTTTGAGGTGGTGGAAATAAACAGACAGGTGCATAGGTGAGGTGGTTTTCAACAAGACAGAATTCATTTCGATGGGTGGCCAGGTAATGAGGTGAGTTGGCGACTCGCAGGACGCACAGTAGCTTTTATGGCGGGCACACGAGCTCTTCGGGGTGCAGGGTAGCTATTAACGAGGAAAATTACCAGGGAGATTCTTTGACAGGTGGTATAGACACATACGATTCCAAAGTGCCACCAGTATCTAAGATAGGTAGAGTCCAGGGCCGGAATAGACGTGGCCATGAGGGCCGAGCCAATTCAGACATCATCATCATCGTCATTATCAGCTTGACTACGTCCACTGCAGGACAAAGGCCTCTCTCATGTTCCACCAGTTAACCCGGTCCTGTGCTTGCTTCTGCCAATTTATACCCGCAAACTTCTTAATCTCATCTGCCACCTAACCTTCTGTCTCCCTCTAACCCGCCTGCTTCTCTGGGAATCCAGTCAGTTACCCTTAACGACCAGTGGTTATCCTGTCTACGCGCTAGATGCCCGGCCCAAGTCCATTTCTTCTTGATTTCTGCTAAGATATTCTTAACCCCCGTTTGTTCCCTAATTCACTCTGCTCTCTTCTTGTCTCTTAAGGTGACACCTACCATTTTTTTCCATTGCTCGCTGCGTCATCCGCAATTTAAGCTGATCCCTCTTCGTAAGTCTCCAGGTTTCTGCTCCGTAGCTAAGTACCGGCAAGATACAGCTATTATATACCTTACTCTTGAGGGATAGTGGTAAACTACCTGTCATATTTTGAGAGTGCTTGCCAAATGTGCTCCAATCCATTCTTATTCTTCTTGTCCCTTCAATCTCGTGGTTCGGCTCCGCGGTTATTACCTGCCCTAAGTAGACATAGTCTTTTACAAATTGAAGTGCACTATTACCTACCTCAAAGCGCTGCTCTTCAGACATCAGGTATATTACTATGCAGGGTGGCAAGAACTGGCTGAAGTGGGAAGAGACAGGCGAACAGCAAAGGGAGGAGAGGCCGATGGTATACGGTTTTCTAGAAACACATCCTTGGGACATTGAACAACCTCCTAACAATCCAAACTACGCGTGGCAATATTGTATCAGAACATAAGGCTGCAGAAAGGGGGGTGGTATTAGGGCATTCATTCATAAAAGTACAGACGGGCATAGGGTCAAGCAGGAGAGCAAGGAATATTTATGGCTAAAAGGGCAAGTGACAAGGCAAATGACACTCTTTGGTTTCGTGTACTTGTTGCCGGAAGCAAAGGCCAGAGAGGAAAACCAGGCAAAGGTAGAGTGTATATCAAATGACAATCAGGAGTAAGGGGGAGAGTGCGAGATAATTATACTAGGAGATATGAATGCGCACATAGAAGATATAGATGGGTATACCAGTTTGACAGGCCAAATGATCTTAGATATTAGTGAAAGGCATGATTTGATCGTTTGTAACAGTACGGAGAAGTTTGAAAAGCAAATACCATGGGAGATAGGAAGGCTGCAGTCAACGATAGACTACGCACAGATGTCACATAGGATGTAGGATAAGCTCAGGGGAATGTACATAGATTATGGTGGCTCCAGAAGTAAGGGTAGTGATCACAAACATATGAAGCTAAGTTTTGGAGACAAGATGAGCAATTACAGTGAAATTTTTATTCAGAAAAGCAAATAGAAATGGCTACTAAACAACTTGAGGAAGTAATCACTGAGGGTAATAAAACAGTGTGAACATACACGATAGTAAATAGACTGTTTGAGCTAGAGCTTGCTAAGGCACGTGACAAGTCACCCCGGAAAAGAGGACACAAACCCAAAAGTTGGTGAGATGAGGAAGTTAAGAAACCATAGCAAAACGTCAGGGTGCCTATAGTGAACACAAACATGCGAAGCAGCGGGGTAAACCGACAGATGATGTTGAAGGAAAATGGGAAATTTTTTTAAGCTTAGAAGGGATGCATTCCTTCTGATCAATAAAAAGTATAGAAGAAAGGGAGCTCAGTGGCTAGCAGAAGTACATAAAAAGATAGAAAGGCAGCTGCGAAATTTTGGGACCATCTAAACTCCCTAACAAATTGGACGAGCCTAGAGCAGAGGTTTATAGCTACAGCTCAAGGTGCTTGGCTAGAAGGGGACAAAGCTATTGAGTATATAAAAAAAACAAGGGTGACAAAAATTTCAACAAAGAAGTGCTTTATGCACCACAAGAGACAAGGATGAATCAAGTGGCGCAATGGCTCCATTTTCACAACGAGAGTTGAAAAGGGCTGAAAAGAGGGTGCCTAGTAGTACATCAACACGCCCAGATGGCATTTCAAGTATGGTGATAAAGACATTAGGTCCGAAGTCTAAGCATGCTTTGAGAGAGGCAATGAGCGAAATAATAATCGATGGTGAAGTCCCCGATGTATGGAAACTTAGCAGGATGAGCATGATCTATAAAGGAAAGGGCAAAAAGCTGACATAAACAACTACCGTCCTATATCAGTGACTTCATTGGTCTACAGGCTGGCGATGCAGATCATAAAGGAAAGACTGCAGGCATGGATAAAGGATTAGAGGGTGTTGGGGAACTGCAGAATGGGTTTCGGAAACACAGGAGATTGGAAGACAATCTGTTCTCACTGACGCAGTGCATCAAAATAGCAGAAAAGGAACATATGTGGCCAGCATTTTTGGATATCAAGGAAGCGTATGATAGCGTGGTTCAAGAGGAATTGTGGGGAATACTGGGCACACTAGGCGTGGTAGATAGAGTCAATAATCTTTTAAAGGGTATCTATAAAGGTTCAAGGTAGTTATAAAGTGGATAAACAGGTATCCAAGCCTGCAGAGGTAAAACGGGGGCTTAGACAGTGGTGTCCTCTGTCACTTTTATTATTCAAGATGTACCTACAAGGATAAGAGGCCAAATTAGAGGAATGTGGACTGGGCCTCAACCTCTCTTTCGTCAAACAAGGAAACCTCATTGAACAGGCACTACCAGCATTGATGTACGCAGATGATATAGTGCTAATGGCCGAAAAAAAGGAAGATCTGCAGAGATTGATGGACATCTGCGGTAATGAGGGAGATAGGTTAGATTTCAGATTCACAAACAAAAACGCAGCAGTCATGATTTTTAATGACAATTAAGGTAGTGAGCTTAGAATACAGGAGATCACCCTAGAGATAACAGATGAATAAAATATATAGGCGTATGGATAAGCAATTAGGCCGAGTACCTAAGGGAACACGAAACACACGTGACGACTAAAGGTAACAGGAATGCAGCAGTGAGGATAAAGAGGGCACTGTGGAACTACAATACGTATATTGTTGTGAGAGGAATAAGGAAAGTGGTCATGGTTTCTGGTCTGACGTTGGCAATGTGGTCTTGCGCATGAGATCAGAAGTTCAAGCAAGATTAGGAATTAAGCAACGTGGAATAGGTAGGCTTGCCTTGGGAGCTCACGGGAATACACCAAATCAGGAAGTACAAGGTGATATGGGATGTGCATCAATTAAGGGCAGGAAAGCTAGCAGCAAGATCAAATTTTAGAAGCGATTTTCAGAAATGGGAAGGAGCGTTGGGCTAGGAAGGTATTCAGCTACTTGTACATGAAATATGTCGATACGAAACGGAGGAAGCGAGCCATAAAATTGACTGATAAATATTTAGAAGACAGCAGGGGGCCAAACCAAAAAGAATTATTGGTTAAGTCGAAGGTGAAGGAAGGTGAGACGGATATGTGGAGAATTGGCATGATTAAAAAGTCCGCACTAGATATTTATCAAAGTTTTAAGCAGGAAATTGCCAGAAAAAGGATCTATGATAATACTCGGGGTAGTTCTCTACCGTTTAAGGCCAGGACGGGAGTATTGCGAACCAAGATATATCGGGCCAAATACGAAGGGGTAGACATGGTATGCCGCGCAAGTGGAGAGGAAGAAGAAACTGCCGAACACTTGATAATGTACTGTAAAGGGCTTCACCCTATAGTCCAGGATGATGGCGCAGAGTTTTTCAAAGCGCTGGGGTTTAGGAAGAGGGAGGGCAAGAAAGACTTTAAGCGGGTAGAATTAACTAGAATGAGGTTATCCAATTGGTGGCTAAAGTCAATGCACGAGTGAAAATCAAACCCTTCACTGCAAAGTATGAATGCTGAACCTCACTATTTAAAGGAAAAATAAATCTAGTTTTTTGTTCAATTATTATTATGGCTTGGTGGTGCTAGTCACTGCCCGATGTAAAGGGTACAGCCATATCCATCCATCCATCCGTCCATTCATCCATCCATCCATCGTCTGTTTCTGATGGCCCGCGCCACGTTACTTCATTCTCATGATTTCGTAGGCACGATATCACGCGACTAGTTCTTACGATATGTGTTACGAGCGGGTACCAATAACCTCCCAAGTTCCCTCACCTGCCTGCTGTCTACCCCGTCGAAAAACGCCTGATATCTGCAATCTGCCATTTATGACCGTTAGGCATTTACATCTCGGCAGCGACAAGAATGGCATAAAGGGGTAGGTGGTTAACGTGCCCATCGACGTGACCAGCATTTGGCAGTGCCGCCCTTGGAACGTGCCCAACAATACCTTGCTTTCGACGTATGCATCATGCGCTGCTCGTTAACAAGCCTTCCTACAGTAATTTTCTTGCCAAGGAACTCCTCGTTCCCCTCTGAGCAAGCTACTCTAACATTATTATAATCTAGCATATATTATCTAACATTAAATAGCGGTGATATTTTTTCTAGATATGATTTTTTTTCCGCTTCCCGCCAATTAAATTATGGAAAGACGCCGTTGCTTCCGGCGAGAGATGGCGCCATATACATATTTTCAAAACTCATTGGAATTTTTAAAGTCACTTTCATATCATTGTTTATCAGCGAACTTTTTATTTTACGTACATGCACTCATAAGTGAACATTTCTCTTCAGCAGGAGATGACGACACCTCTTCACCCACCCATGCGCAAATGGGTTCATTCGCAGCTGTCGTCATAAATAATGTGTTTCTCTGGGCCACAGAGAAGATCGTACACAAACGCGCAGCACGTGTCCTTGTTGTCCAGCGCCTCATTGGTGAGCCAGTAGCTGCAGCCAGCACCTGCGGAATAGGTTGTAAGCAAATTCAGTTGGGAAGGTGCAGGTCACAACGTGTACGCTTTCACTACGTCATGACTTGGGCGCAAAAGAAGCCATAGTGTCTGGTACATGTTCGGTCTGGTAACTTGCTTAGTACGCTACTTACATTCCACTCCTGCTGTACTAGACACGCGTCTTTGGGAGCAACGCGATCTTGCTTTGAAAACGTATGTATCAGTAATGGCTGAAGTGGAACATAGGGTTTGCCGATTTCTCAGGATCATTTTCATAGATCGAGATCTGAGCTCGCGAGTTTTATTAGAATTGTTCACTGTAAATTATTCGTTCGGCTCTGACATGCCACAAGCAAGATATGATATAGGCGCTGACTTTAATCGGAAATAGTGGTCGAATTTCGACCATCTGCGGCTATTCAGTCGGCACCAAATTCTGTACACATAGAGTTTCCTTGCACCTCAACCCGATGTGAATACGGCCACTGTGGCCAGTAGCTGAAAACGCAACCACAAGCTTGGCAGCCCGAAACACGTCCAAAACTACACAGGTGGTTGTGTTCGTTTAAGAGGCTGCTGGCGCTGACGCGTTTTTACGATGACTGTTTACTAATTGGTACATCGGCCCCCTCTCCTTCTTTAGCCAGCAAGGCGATTTCTGAATTGCTTTTTATTTCTTTTCAGAATTTTCTCCAATTGAAATGCCACAAGTGTTGACAGCGGGGAAAAACAATTTTTTTTTTCATATGCCTATAGGCTACGCCTATATGTCTATACTCCCTCTGTGCCTGAAAACTCAAACAATACTTACGCTCTAGAACAACGTTAGGACTTACGTTTTGTTAGCCCGATTTAGCGTTTGCACTAAATAGCGCTTTTTCTCTGGACAAGTGTCCCAATATGTATACCAAAACTTACTTGTGAGTGATTCCAATTTACCGCCTACAGCTCATCGCAACCGCCTTAAGACTTAGCTCCCCAGGATACATTGCCATTGTGGCTACCGACGCAATAAATTTTACATCCCTTCCTGTAGCCCGCAACTGCAAACGACAGAATATGCCGGCCCATAGCCTCCTATGGCCAGCCTTATACAAAATTACATGCACGTGCCCATCCTCTCGGCGCCTTCCTGAGCTGTGTGCGGGCATTCCACCATGATGAAAGATGGTATTTAAATTTTTTGTGGTTCAATAAGCATAATAAAGCATGATTTTTGGTTAGCTTTAGCACAGTATTTCGCACATGAAATAGCTTTTCCGCTCTCTGCGTTCAATTTTTCTCTCCCAGCTTCTCTAAGCAGAACCCCGTACCCGTTTCCACATGTGTATTTCTTTGTCATTCATTTCATTTTGTTTCTCTCTCTCTATCTTTGGTTTGACCCTCCTTTTCCCACTACTTTACATAGTAGCAAACAGCTGCTTCTTGCCGTTTAACCTCTCTGTCTTTTTTTGTCTATTTTTCACTCTCTCTCTCTATCCGCCCAATCTATTTATCAAATTTAGTTACGCAGCTGCACGATAGCAGCATGTGCTACAAATTCGCTTCTACAGCAAAAAGCTGTAAGGAGATCTCAACTCGGGTCACGTGCATGCCATAGTTGTTCACCACCACCGCCACCGGAGTCTGTAACCACCATCGCACAAAATAAGGAAAACGTCAGTGAATAAAAAATACTAAGAGCGCATTGGGATTCAAACCTGGGTCTGCTGCATGCCAGCCCATAATTCTACCACTGAGTCCCGCTGGTGCTCAAAATTATTTGCCGATTGGCCCTAGGCAGGCTTAGTGTCGGGAAAGGAATAATAATATTATCAGTAACAAATCATTATAGAACACCAAAGGAAGAACCAGGTGTCAGATAATGTGAACTGCACAACGAGTAGGTTGTCGAATGCCCCAACTCTTTACAAATGCTTGGTTTTGTTCACCTATTAACTATGGCGCATACCAACTGCGGGAGGTTGCGGGGATTACAAAAGGTTTTGGCGTAACTCTTCATTGTAGTCAGCCACAGCACACGAAAATCGCACCAGATTTCTCGCAAAGTGGGCAGCAGGTACAACGCTTCACCAAAGAATGATGAAGAATGGCATAGTGAATGTCTGCCTACTACACAATGTTTAATTACGTTGTGGGTAACCTGCAAGTGTGCCAGATGGAGTTACCGAAAGAGTGTTAAAAATGTTATTAAAGGCCGATCTTCTAGCTTTCGATGTGACAGTGCAGCACGTTCAGCGCAGGCCTCGTGTTTTTTTTCGTCAGTTGACTACTGAATTCAGTAATTGCACGGATCATGTCATCCACATAATTTTTACTAAAGCAGGGAAGTGCTATCGGCAAATTTATCATATTGTTTAAGATGCTGTCTATGCTACGAAATCTGACACAGTTCCCCTTTTCACGTCGCCACCACTTGTGACATGGTCCAACTACATGGAGTGGCGTTTGCGTGACGAGGGAACCGCTGCTACAGAACAAGCGGTAATTGAAAGAATAATTCAAGGTGCATGCCTAGATGTACACAGTAGTTGTTATGAAAAAAAAAATCAGCGTGCCGTCAGTACCTCTACTCACCATTATTTATGTAGTTGTGTCTGAATACTTTGCAGTTCTTGCAATCTCTGTAGGCTACTGTGAACACAAAGTCTCCAAGGTCACCTGCAGATGTGAACAAGAAAAGATATGGCTGTCAACATTCAGTAGTTAGCTACGCCCGCAACAAAATTTCTTTTTCCTCTAATGCAACATGATATATCCATTACATAGGGAAAGTGCACGCATTGCCATTTTCTTCAGCTTAGGCAAAATTTGTTTAGCAATGCCTGTACGCGAGCAAAAAATGACGTTTGATGCAGCGAACGTGGCAAGTCGTTTACAAATGAATATTTTCGTCGTGTACTCTTTTAAATACAGATGTGAAATATCTTCAGTCACGTCTCCTGTCTAGTTGCTGCTTTAACGCCTAATAGTCAATGCTATCAAGCTGAAAATCTTTCGAAATTGCTCTGGAACAACATATTGAAATAACCAAGATTTGCAGGCGCACAGATCACAGAAATACGGTCCCACAATTTCTCTCGTGTTGTCGGCACAAAAAAGAAGACTTTCACGGATATAAATACCCGCAAGAAAGTTTGTTTAGGTCTCATTATGTGGTCTTCACAGAAATGTGTTTGGACATGCGCATTTCTCAAAGGTGCAAGCAAAGTATCATAAACACTACTGCAGTGTTCCGTTGAGGCGTTTAACTAACATTATGAAGAAAAAGCCGTACATTGCGTTTGTTGCTACAAGCACTCATGATTTAACAACTGGCCTCAAGATCAGAAGGGCCAAATGTGATATGCGCAGTGGTAAAGCGGCCGGTTGATACATGTTGATTTGTTTTTATTGATGGAAGGGTAAAGCGTGACCAAAGATCACCCTAACAGGCAATATATTGTTATCTCTGACTATTGTGATACGATGACATACTGTATATGACAGTGTCATAGCATAAGGCTATGGCTGTAGTGGTGGTGACGCCAGAAATGCTAGTGTGGTAAGGGCGTGATCATCACCTCAATGCAATTTAGCCTGAAGACTAAGTAAAGAGATGTTTTTTTTTAAATGAAAGTGCTCCACTATCAGCCTCTTTAAGATGCAGCTTTAAAGACTGCAATATATTATAATCTAAAAACTGTCTACACATTTTGCAAATAACGAACAACTCTTGGTATCTAAAAAGAGGGTTCATGTCTAAAGTATATTTAAGTATGAAATAGATCTGCTTGACTAAATAGTATCTCAAGAAGCTTTTCAAGAAGCCTGTTATATTGTAGGTAATTGTATTGCAGGATAAGGTGTCTGTGTATGATCGAGGTGAGGTCTACCAAACGTCGATAGAGTAACTTCTCTACGCTGCACTTTTCCTGTATTCAATCAATTGCCTAAGTAACGCGTGATTATGTGTACGTTAAGTTGTCTTTTTTGGCATGCCCCTCTAGCTGTCAGTAACTCATTAGTTGTTTTTTTTTTGTTTATAGAAGGCTTCAAGCGTGCGGTTGAAAGATGTGATGTTGTTCGGCTGCATACAGTCGTTATCCATCTAGTTATTGTCAATTCAACGGCTTCGTCTCCAAGTAAGTTCGAGTATTATTCCCTCCGTCCACGTACCCTATACATTGCGATAATATGGTTTAACGCGTACGATGAATATAGTGCTATGAAAGATTTATTTATTACCAAATTTTTCTATTTATGTATTCATTTCAAACCATTCACTATACTCAAAGATTTCGGAAGTATCATAAATATGCATCAATTAGTTTTCTATTCTATTCTATAGTTTACACGGCGCAGTATCTGGCCGTAAATGCATTTTCTCCGATTACACGACGTAAGATTCAATGAATGACGGCCCGAGTGTACGCGTGCTTGTGACTTCGATGTACGAGTCTTAGGTTCTTAGCAGGATTATTAAAACAGAAGCCTGCGGCATGCAGACTTTTTTACCCTGGAAGCACGTTTGGTAGTCAGCCTAGAGGATGCACCACACTGTTTTTGAGGAAACTCTGGTGAGGACGCTTTCAATGAAGGGATCAGCCGCTTTACCAAAGGGCAACATCTATGTCATCGTAAAGTCTACTCACGTGGAGTGATAAGGGCTATGCAAGACAACAAGACGCTTCTCGTGCAGAGTGGAACTCCTGTTGTCGTTGGTTATCAGCATGGTTCTTAACAACTCGTGCTTCAGGCTAAACTAAGATTCTCGACTCAATTGTGCTTTCAATCTGAAGTCACCACTCACTAGACTAGACGTAGAGAGTCTAGCGGAACGGTTCAAATTGTACCGTTCATACGGCGCAGACTGAATCATAAACAAGACGTAGCATGTTATGGGCACCCTGTGTAATCGAGTGGCATACTCTAGCGTAATAATCAAGGCGTAAATATATGAAAACATTTGATAGGAAGTCAACACTCACCTAGCATAACATACCTGTATGGCAACTAGCCAAAACAATGGGTAGATTCATCATCTCGAGAGTTTTTGCTTCAAGAAAATTATTTGGCGAAGAAAGTAAGCTTTGAATATAAATAAGTGTCTCGAAACTAATGCTCAAAACATACACGGTTGTTACTCATTGATATTAACAATGACACTCGGTATTGCAAATTTTGATCTTGTGGTGTGGGGAAAAATTATTCAAGTGTTCTTCTGAGGAGGAAACTTCTCTCTTTTCTTCTCACCTATATTTCTATAATTTTATGTGATCTACCGCACTTTTGACACGCAGACAAAAAGGTTGATGATAAATAACAATGTGGAGAAATGTAGAAGGAAAGTTATTTGAAATAAATATGTTGTAAATGGAAAGAAAGGGAAGTGAATGAAACAATAACTTGCTGCCGGGGCAAGCACGGGACTTGCAACCTGCAGCTCACGCAATACAGATAAAATTGGAGATTACTGTGAAAAGGTTGCACCTAGCACTGAACGAAACTAACGATAACTAATCACGATGATATTGCCGACAGCTAAAGCAGCATATCACGTGTGTGCTTGCATTTCGAGTTGACTCCAGTGTTCAATACACTCAATGTGTTCACGTAATAAACCATTACAAGTCATATAGAGCCCTGGGAAAATTGGGTAGTTTCATTATCTTCTACCAGTTATTTTACGAATTCAGGAACCTTCTTACTGTTTCTTGGTTGATAGTAAATCACGTTTTTAGCCGTGTATCCGGGTGACGACGTTAAAGTTAGTGTGACATCTCTGCAAGAAAGAAAGAAAAAAACATGTGTAACGAAGCATATGACTCGCATTAGCGGAATAATAAATGCATTACCAAAGTGTAGGCTCCCATTAGCGATGTTTGAAAAAGTGGGTGTCATGGACGCAGAACACACTAAGCCTAAGTGAGACACTGATAACATCCCCCGAAGTTACTGTACAACAAACTGATAATGATAGTCGTGAAAATCAGGTCTAACATAACGAATAGCGCTCCGCAATCTGTAATAATGCATTTCTGTATCGTAAGAGCTCGCTCTTTAGTCAGCGCTGTTACCAGCCACGTCACAACGACATTCAGGGGCATTGCTGTTATAACTAGGTGCAGCTCACAATATATTGTTTTGTCAGAGATAACACTAGCAAGTATAAAAGCTCCAGAAAAACTGCTTTTTATCGATAGTCCTAATCAGCATACTAAGCAGCATGACGCAGTCGCATAGCGAGCACCGAAAATGAAGTATCAGGCGTGTAGTGCGCTAACGGTTACCATCGCTTATGGTTAAGAGACTCGCTACGTATTGTATAGACCAAACGCGAGCCAGCAGTGTGCTACCCTAATGCCAAAACTTGCAAGCTCCTGCAGCAGCATTTACATTTTGCGCCTGGCGAGAGTTTCAAATATTCGCCGTCAAAAAACACTATTAATGTATGTGATGGTTTGATTAAACCACTGTGATGGTTTGATTAAAAGTCGTTCTGCAAGATGGAAATGCAAGATATGTATAAATATGCACGTCGGTTGGCCAGACTATTACACCTTCAGAAGATATTTGGGGCACCTAAAAGCTTTGGTGTCTCGTTACCAAAGCAGAAATCTCACTATGATCTCACTAGCATAACGACATGCCGCCGTTGACGCTGACTTTGGCAGAGCAGTTTCATCAGTATAGCAAAATTCGTGAAGCAGCATGACGTAGCTTAACCCCAGTCACATGTGCCAACCAATGCATGAATGGCAAAACCAGAATGTGGTCCCTCGAAAAGTTCTCTTGTATGCTTCGAGCTAGTCACACGTAGGAGCCAGTAGACACAGAAACACCAAGTCTCCAGTGCATCGCTGGCCCGTGGAGCTATTAACAGCAGCTTCCCATACGTTGAATATATTTTTGCGCAACGAAAATGCACTGCTGGGAGTATTTCTGAATACATATTGCACGCTAGCGTGGCGTTTAAGTGCACCTCGGCTTGAAGTAGCCTGAATGTCAGAGGCTATGGCCTGCTTAATTTGCTCTTCATTGGAAGGTACTGTCCCCTTCGCAAATAGAGATGTTTCGTGAGCTCATTGTACGAGACTGGAGGGTCCCGACTCTCACCTCAAAAACCTCACCCTCCACCACCGCTAGCTACACAGCCCGGTAGTCCTCCCGTTGATAAAGTCGACTCACTCGACTTACTGAGATCGGGCTCAGTCTATTCTATTTGAGCATTGAATCAAACGAATATGCGTGACTCGATGTTCTTGTCCCGAAGGATCTGCCCGAAGACCAGTTCTAAGATCGCGCCCTTGGCGAAAGCTCTGACGGCCTATCTCGAGTAGCCCCGCCGCAGTGGTCTAGTGGCTAAGGTACTCAGCTGCTGACCCTTAGGTCGCGGGTTCGAATCCCGGCTGCGGCGGCTGCATTTCCGATGGAGGCGCAAACGCTGTTGGCCCGTGTGCTCAGATTTGGGTGCACGTTAAAGAACCCGGTGGTCAAAATTTCCGGAGGTCTCCACTACGGCGTCTCTCACAATCATATGGAGGTTTTGGGACGTTAAACCCCACATATCAATCAAATCAACCTATATCGAGTAGCTTTAAATCATGGACCTACGCTTTTCCCGCAATGCCAAAGTTGCCGCCGCTTGCTCTGTCATTTCGGCCGCCATAGCCCGGAGCAACACGACTGCCGAAATAGCGATACTCATTACGCGACGTCAAACATAACCTTGCTTTTAGGATTTGAATGGCGGGAGCGTGATGTTATAAGAGACGTCTGTCTTCTGGACAGGTGACACGCAGCAGTCCTATTGAAGTGCTAACGCAATCGGCCATATCGTGTGAGTTCTCATGAACAATAATTGTGCTCTGGTGTAAACTTGTGCGTGAACAACGGCCAGGCCTGCGCGGAACGCCTAGCACAGACACAGCGAAAGCTGGAAGAGCCACCTTTCTCCAGCTTTTTTAAATACTCTGCTGGTAATTACAAAAAAACACACTTGCATGGCACCCATTACGCCGTATAGATAGAATATTTTGTGTAGTAGGAAAAGAAAAAGATGAAGAAGATGAAAGGCCGGGATGCAAACTAGACGAACGCTCGGTTTGTGACCCTGCACTGGGGATAAAAAATGAGAAATAAAAATTAGGAAAATGCGCCTTGAGCTTTTAATTGTCACACAAGCATAGTACACGATAAAAATTTTAAGAGATAGTGCTCACTTTGTTGAGGCTGTGACTGGCTTCACTAGGAATTATACTGGGGCTCTTGTAAGGAGCTCGAGCAATCCACTATGCTATTACTTGTCATTCGTCACACAACCATTGTACACGCTAACATTTTTAAGAGTCAATAATCACTTTGTTGATTCTGTTACTGTGTTCATTAAGAATTATACTGAGGATCTTGTAAGGAGCTGGAGCATTCCACGTTCATAATTACCTGATTCACATTGTTTGATGCGTGGTTGTTACATAACAGTTTTAAAACGGTTTAATGAACATGTGAACGCTTTTTCTATACGCAGGTCAGCGCTATTCCATGAAGCCTTCACAGGCTCAGTTTGCAACAGAGTTTTGAGCGCCGGTGCAGCTCATCGGTAGAATACTCAGCTGCCACGCAGAGCGGGTGGGTTTAAGTCTCAATGTAAATTGGTGTTTTATACATTTTAGCTATTTCGCGTGATAGTGGTTACAGAAAAAAATGAGCTGACAACTGCAGCACCAAACATATCCCTGTGATCTCATAACAGTTTTTGCTCTGAAACTGCCATGAAAACCTATAATCAGGAAATTTCGCCTCACAAGACCACAATTTTCGTATATTTATGAATACGCTGCTTGAATACACGGTATTATTCGCATAGTAGATACACTGGCTTAAATAGGCTAACTGATACATGTATCGGTCATTCTTAGTCGTCTAGTCACACAAAGATGTAACACTGCTAACCGTATGTACGAGCACATGCAGCACTATACGCTCAGTCCGTTATGTGCTTTGAGAATAGCTATAGAGTCTCTTTTGCGAAATTCGCTACAACCTTTGTTTGCTCTTCGGTAGTGCTCTCAAAGAGTACGTTTTGCTTACAGTAGGCCTTCAGTGCCGTATGCGAAGGTGGTATTTAGGGACGAGCCGACGAGATCTCCAGTGGGACCTGTTCTGACGCATTTCGCATCTCCTCCAAAGTATGGGTCATTCTCGAAATTGCGGTAAATCTGGTGTAGGGTCGACTCAAAAGGGAAACACTGAAATGAAAGTATAGTCACAGAAAATTAGGCGAGCTTGTAAGTTAACACTGATAGCCTACATGTGCGGCACGAAATGATAGTAAAGGCTCGGGCCGCCATGCACATATACTGCCGAAGATGTCACGCCCACTCGGTTAGCCGCTACCTAGTGCTAACCTGCTGGACGGGGTCATAGAACAGTTGGAACCCACCATTCCGATAAAATGCAATGCACATGAATGTGGAAACTTCATTGTACAATATTCGAATTTCTAATGCATATATAGATTCATTCTTATAACACAATTGATTTCTGTATTGATACGAATCAATTATCTCTCCCTAACATACACTGAACAGAAAAATGCACTCACATAGACTGGCTATTTGGAAAGTTAATATGTTGAGACAAAGTGCACTATAAGGAGGAAGTGACAGAAATGTAAAAGGCAATATGGGTAACCAAGGCTGCGTTTTGCTGGCCAACATACATATAAAAAGAGGACATGGAAAACGATCACCTACCTAAAGTTAGGTAAAATTGCTTTCTCTTCTTTCGACAAATCACGAAATTCCCCCAAAAAATCACGTGCAGTAAACCCCTCTCGGGCGTATCAATCATTGGCTGTTTGAACATGGCGTGCTCAGTCGTTCAACAGATCGCCGCGTGAGGCCGCTACTTGTCCACGCGTGCGCGCGCGATCACACTGAAAAACCCGCGCATTCGAAGAAAAAAAAGGAAAAACTGCTCAAGGTCTGGAGGCGCTCGTGACGTTTTTGTTAGCCCCTCCCATCACTCCCTTCTTAGCTTCCAGCGCTTTCGTCACGACGAGAGAAGGGAGAATGTGATTGCAGCGTGTGACAATTCTTTGTAACTCCGCTCGTACCGTATACTCTTAAATTTTTGCGGCATTGACTTTTGAAGCAACACGCTTTTTCATTGAATTGATTTCATGATTGCTCAAAAAAGTTTTTCAAGGCCCCTTTGAGATCAACGCCCCGCCGCGGTGGTCTAGTGGCTAAGGTACTCGGCTACTGACCCGCTGGTCGCGGGATCGAATCGCGGCTGCGGCGGATGCATTGCCGATGGAGTTGGAAATGTTGGAGGCCCGTGTGCTCATATTTGGGTGCATGTTAAAGAACCCCAGGTGGTCGAAATTTCTCGAGCCCTCCACTACGGTGCCTCTCATAATCATATGGTGGTTTTTGGATGTTAAACTCCACATATAAATCAATCAAATCACCTTTAAGATCTACAATATTATGCCACGTAAAATGAAAGGAACAAGAATTTTTCAGTATAATATGAGAGCAGGCATGGCTGGCTTCGCAAGCTTTCAATATTAAGAAACGAATACATCATTGTAGCCGTGATACATCTTCGTTTCTGCACATTTATAAATACGAGCTCTTGTCTTCGTGCATCTCATACAACGATTTTATCACTGTTTCACCTTTTTTTTCTTGAAAAAGTACCGTTTGTGCGTGCAAGTACGAAGGCTACCTTGGACGTGTGTAAATGCATGGACAACTGAAGGAATAAAGCAGTTGGCAGTCACCAACCATGCGTATCACTTATTTTTTTATTTTTTTGTGGAGTATCCAGTGCGTCGGCGCTATTACTTTTATCTCGGTGCTTGGAAGAAATTTTTGTTAAAGAAGTCAATAAACAGAATACTAACGCACCTATCTTCTGGCATCTCCGATTCAGTACACATAATGAAAACGTTACAAAGTATGAATTTAAACACTTGGCAAAGTTTTCTGCATTTAGTCTTAATGAACACTAAAATATACTTTGTCCTATGCATGTAAAGTTATGCTATACGATAGTTTTGAATTTTGTATGATGACCTTGTTTCTTTTAGTCTACAAGTTATTACCTCCTCTGAACATGAAGGCCGCCGTACAGGACGGGTATAACACAACAGGTCGATACGCGCGGAAAACAAAAAGGTGAACAAGAGTCAAAAACAAAAGCTCAACAAAAGTAAAAAACAAGCTTTATAGCTGAGCGATCCAGCTCTAAGCAATCAACTAGAAAGTACACAGACATGAAGATACATTTTCAGGAACACTGCTTTAGGCAATTCAAGTGTAGCAAAGTAAAATAATGAAGTGCTCATGCAGCTAAGTTGTTCGAATCGTTAAATATGCACAGAAAAATGAAAGCATTTGAATAGGTTAGTTTGGCAAAATAGGTAGTGAGAGCACTTAGGTGTTGTTGGTGTATGTTCGTGCTTTCTTCCCGTTTTTTTTTTATTTTTTGTCTTGATGATATGAGTATGAAATATCTGTTTCCTTAACACAACTTGTATATGTATGCCCCGCCGAGGTGGTCTAGTGGCGAAGGTACTATAGGCTGCTGACCCGCAGGTCGCGGGATCGAATCCAAGCTGCGGCAGCTGCATTCTCAATGAACGCGAAAATGCTGCAGGCCCGTGCACTCAGATTTGGGTGCTTACGGTGTCTCTCGCAATCATATGGTGGATTTGGAACGTTAAACCCCCATATCAATCAGTCAAAAAAATTTATTCATGTATTTGCATATCTAATTAACACCCTATTATATCTAATAGCATGTATAAATAGCATTTTGCATTTTGCTGCACTTACAGAACTTGAAGTAGAAGCGAAATTGGGGAACCCTTAAGCTTCGCCTACAAGAGTTGAACGTGATAGCGAAATCCGGCCTCTAGTGCACCCTTCGACTGCTAAGTGCATACCTAATAATATGTTTTGTTACATACACACGTACGCACACAAACACGCATAAAGTAGATTGGACCAGCGTGCCCTATAATCGCCGAATGGGCTCGTTTTCATCGCAACACCTGTCGAATAAGGTGCGTTAAAGGGACCCTGAAACACTTTTTTCGAATAACCATGGAGTAAATTCACTACAAGAGTTTATCGCCTCACTAATGCAACGCCGCAGAAATATGAATAATCCATGCAGTGCGAGTGGATCGAGTTACAAAGGTTTGTCGCATGCTGCAATTGCATTATCCTTTCTCTCATCCCGACGAAAGCGCTTGAAGCTATGCAGGGAGGGATGGCAGGACAAAGAAACTACCCCACCTCGTAACATTGAGCACTTTTTTTTCTTCGTACACGCGACCTTTTCAGTGTGATCGTGCGCGCACGCGTGGACGAGTAGCGGCCTCCCGCGGCTATTTCGGTAACTTGATTTTTCGCTCACAGACGCACAGACAATTTTTCGCTCAAAACTAACGGAGCCGGCGCCGGCGGCGGGTTCCCTGTGACACGAGCTCTCTATCGCTATCACGTTAAAACGATTAGGATTTGGAATGAGAATAGCGCCTCCCCAACGGACAGTCACCCTATTTCACAAATAGGGATTACCCCTATTTTGTTAAGCACTAAATTGAGCGAAACCAACCATAGACCGAGCTTACTAAGAGATCGTAGTCTTGATGAGTTCTGGTGCATGGACTTTTAGCAAGAGACGTATACCTGTTCGACGCCACTCATTAAGGGCTGTCATCGAATAAGTAAGCATTGTAAGAACGATGACTATTGGCTTCCCCTCTGAAAGTTCCATCGGTTGTAGGCTGGCAGCGCGTTTTATATCAATAAGTATTTTCTTCCGAGAAACTTACGGTGGTTTCGTCCTGATAGACGCCGAGACGTGGATTGATGTCAGGCCATCTATAACTCGCCGCTGCGCTGGCAGTTGTGAAAGTGACCACTGTGAGGGCAAGTGCGACGTACGCCATGCTTATAACTTTGCCGGAGAACGACCGTGCCATTCATTGTAAACGCGTGTTCTTTTATAGCAGAAACACCATTTGGTGAACGGTGGCCACGTGGCTCGTGCTGAGTGTACTGGTTTTGCGTGCCCCCCCTTTCACATCTGCACGGGGGAGGTCGTTGCCAAACGGAAACGTGCACGTCACTCAGAAAACATCACAGCGATAAATTGAATAGTGAAAGGATGTGCCCTATGTTTTTTTTAATTTGGCATGCATGTACATATGCGTGCACTGCAATGACGCACACAGCTAATGTCTGCATCAGTCAATTAAAACGAGTGAATCTTTCTTTGGAAGAGTTGCGATAACAATGTGTCCTATGCCCTACTTCACTTTAAATCGCAATGGAGGAGTTCTGCTGCCCCGGGCATAGTGCCACCGAACGCATGGGGATCGAGTAAAACTACTCTTACAAGTGCGATTGCATTGCTCGTATTGATCGCAATAAAATTATCTGACGGTTTCTCAGTCCAAATTGCGCGCGTGTGATGAATGTATGGCGAAATTTATGTCCTCTGTCTTTCCTGAAATTTGATACAACGTAGATTTATGGGATTAAATTGAAAATTGAAAGCATTTGTAGGCCTGGTATTGTATGCCGAGACTCTCAGTATTTCGGTCTAAGAGCCACAACAAGGAAGTTAGGATGATCGCTGAAGTGTTAGCTCTGTTGCATACACTTTCACTAGGAGGAAGGGCTACTTGAAATATGTACTATCAGAGTAAGAGCCTCAGTCTGCCTTAATCACCTTATCAAAGCAGCATGCAGTAACTGGGATGTTTAGTGTCACCATCGTGTCAACATTAACTCGGCAATATCACCTTAATTTCTTTGCACAGATTTTTCAGCTACTTCGATCGTGAACCTCTCGCTATGCATTAGTGGAAGTGATGGGAGTGTGTATGTTTTTCAGTAGCTCAAACTAATACCTGCGATGTGAAGTTAACTTGGTGTACTAGTATTTCTGAGAGCTAGAATACCTTACAGCTTCATATAAAACAATGCATAATGAATTACTGTAATCAAATGCTATATCCTCAAACTTTAAAAACACCCTGACTATATTACTCAGAAGCTCTTATTCCGACATCCATCTCACATGCATTTCTTTTAGTTTAGCTTGCTTAATTTGAAAATTATTCTGAAGTCAACAACCAGGTATAGAATGCTCACAATTAAACACAAATCGCGTTTTAAATACAGAACAACAACGTAACTATTCCACACGGTAATTTTACGTCATTGTTCCCTACTTACAACTTTTATGTTCCTTTTCAATGCTTTTAAAAGGTGCCGCCCGTGACACCCATAAAAGCGTGAGGCTGTTTACACACCACAATAATTGATACACTGAAAATAAGCACTCAATAACTGATGCGGAATTAGCCCTACACAAATAGACCACAAAAGACTTAAAGGGGCCATGCAACACTTTCTGAGCATAGTCAGAAAACGCTGCCGATCAGTAGTGGAGGCTACCAAGAACACGCAAGCCAAATTATATTGTGCAACACGTGGCCCAGAAGTCACAAGAACTTCTCAAAGTCAGCTAAAAATAGCTTTCTCTTCTCTCGACAGATGACGACAGAAACTCAAAAGTGTCTCGTCACAAATGGCTTACTTGAACGTGGTGTGCTCGGTCGTTGCAGAGATCACCACGGGAGGCGGCGAATTGCCTCACGTATCACACTGAAAAAAGCCGTGTTTTCGAAGAAAATAGAAGAGCGAAAAACGCCAGGACTGCGCGGAAGGCGCAGCACGGTCGCAGCGAAAGCAGGAAGAGTGGCTTATCAGAGAGTTTCTAAACACTCATTGGGTAACTACTGCAAACACACTTGCTTGATACCCACAATGGCTTTGTTAATAAAAATGTTTAGGTAGTAGGCTGGCAGTCTTTGTGCTATTTTGCATCCTTCGCTGAGAAACATGGCATACGCTAAAGTATTGCGAGGAACTTTGTGCCAATTGTTCATGCAGTGGCTGACGATGTTGACAAATTATGCCAGAAGTGTTTATGCGCCACAGTTTAGGCTGAAGAAAAACAAGATTTTGTAATTGAATGGAGCATTGGACGCCCCACTCATTACGCTATTCGCATTGTTCGACGACTGGTTGTTCTTTCGATGTTTTAAAATGCTTTATAAATCGTAATAACACTTAATTGCTTTCCTCACATCAAGCATGCCTAAGGCAAGTTTGCCAAGAAGTCCCAAGCGCCATTGTGGATCAGTGGTACAATAACTGGGGTGGCACCCAGCGGACCCATGCTTGAGCCCCACTTTGTCACTGATGCTAGGTTTTCTTTTTTATTTCACGTGATGTGGTTACGGACTTGGCGGCAGTAGTGGCGGTGGACAGCTGAGCGTGACCGGAGTTGTGATCTAAAAACAACAGCTTTCGCTGTTATTAAATCACCAGATACCAAACGTATCCTACTGTAAATTTGCACTTTAGTAAGTGCTGTTGGGTCCAATAAAAAATCACAGCATATCCACAGAGTGAATGAAGATGAGTGGGACGAAGCGTCCATCAGCCCGTCCATGCTTCCGTTCGTCCATTCGTTCTTGCTTCCGTCCATCCGCGCGACCATCAGTGCGTCTATCTTTGCGTCCGTCTATCTTTCCTTGCATCCATTCGTGAGTCCGTCCATCCATCGGTCTGTCTGTCTGTTCGTGCGTCCTTCCGTCCGTGTGTCCACGCGTCTATTCATTAGTCCGTCCGTCTGCTGGTCTGTCTGTCCATCTGTCTTTGCGTCCATTTAGTGAACACTCCAAGTACCGCCATCTTTCATCGGGTATCCCCTGTGGCACATACCCGCTCTCGAGCGGTTATGTGCCACTGGTGGCTACGTAGTACTACATACATACAAGGGATGGACAAACTCACGCCTTAAGGAGCTTCGCACCTAAAAGTGTTTCAACCCATAGATTTTGAATGGCTAAATAACTGAAACTAAGCTGTGTGGTCATCTCGAAACCCCAAATCTCAAAACGCCCCTCACTAATATTCAATCAGAAATGCCCCAGCGTGCCGGACTCCCAAACAACGCAATCATCTCGAGTTTTTATATTTGGTGTTTTTGGTTTATGTAGCCCCGCGCACTTTTGAAATAAATTATATTGTTTGGCATGTTGCTGAGAGGGGTCGAAGAAAGCGCATGGTTAAGATTTGACCCTACTTGATTAAAAAATATAATCCCTTTTGATGTTAATTTCTACCAAATATATGTTTCTATGAAATGAAACCTTTAGCCCAAGCTATACCATCTACTTTACGTAATTTACTTTTCATGAGAATTTAAACCATGGCCACGCGCTTGATTAGGGGGCCTCATATGTGAGAAAAAGTCTCACACCTAGTTCGTCTACCATTAAAGAAACTGCCGCACACTTTCGCCAGATACACGTTATAAATAGTGCTAGCTCGAACAAAACATGACGAAACGGAACGTTGTACGAGAGAGCAACTACACTATTTTTCATGAAATTTTGTGAACATGAGCGTCAACTTGAAGGGATGTCTAAATTTGGCATTTTGTGGAGAAAAGAGAGTGAAAGCAAGCAACGCCGGAGTCGGTTGCATGCTACATTTTCTTTACAGAACAAGTTCAGGAAAAAAATATTCATGTTCACGCATAGGTTGTCTAGGTGCAATAATGCATCAGTTCGTGTTAGCCCAAGATCACAAGATATTGACGTTTTGCTAAGGTATGAATAATTAAGCAGCTGCCATGACACAGTGCATTGAAAACACAAGCAACGAGACCCACTAGTTATATTTATCATGAATACCATAGATTTGCAGGCTCGGCCAGGAAATTTTTATTGAGTGGCAGCATAAAGGAATCCCTAAGACACGTGTGAATCCACTTTGTATATTCGCTGAAAACATACTGAATGCTACGCGTCCTCAATATGCTTTTATTTCTCGCAAGCGATACTACAATACCAACATATACGCTAAGTCAATTCACGTGCGGTGTTCTTCTCATGCGTAAAGAAATATGAGCGCATGAACAGTATGTTGATCGTAAAACTATATAGTTTTCTTTTCTTACGTCACTTTCGCATACAGTCTGTTCGTACATAACAGAACATTTTTGTTTGTATTGACCATGTATGTAACGCTGCATGTACAAGAAAGGAAGAAGCACTGATTTTTCAAATACACAAGTCATGGAGTGAACTGCGACTTTTTACGGTATGATAAAATTATACATCGGATGTAAGTGGTCTTGATGGTTCTCTTGCTCTAAAATGTACCTAACGAATATAGCCTGCCCAATATTCTTGTTTTTTAGCGAAACCGCAAATAAAACACAACGAACTTTTGAAATCGCATCCTCTGAGTCACTCAATTATATGCGTTCTATCCAGCAATTTAAATATTCATGCAGATTTAAAACGCAAAACAAAGAGAAGTTTCAATGAGAAGCTGTCAGCTAGTACAGCGCGCACGTGGCGTGCTCGATGTTTTGCTTATATTGTCGGTGAGGTCCTTGTGTCCGTTAGACGATTTGAATGAAACAAACGCGCAAGAACAACACAAGTAGTAATTCGCAGATTGTTTCCGCTGACATGATGTTTGAACTTGCAAGGGGATCATATTTTTTTTTCTTTTCGGGAAGTTCATATGTGCCTCATGCGTTACTGTTGCATGGGTTATTTCTCACTCTAGCGTTTTTTTTATATATATACTAAGTGCTCTCTCCAATGGTGAAATAGGGAACTTCGGACTGTCGACAATGCATATTGTGTACTTTACAGCACACAATTTTCACTATACGAGATGTACAGGTTCACTGCAGGGTGCCCAAGCTTCTCACTTCACGTGACCTTTGTGGCTTTTCAAACCTCAGGAGAAACTCCAGCTCAGGTTGGAACTTAGGCAAACACGCTTTCTGTACAGCCTTCAGTGGTGGCTCGTATATCTTTGTTAAGGCGTAACTAGACAGCTTACTAAGCGGTAAAAAAATATACAGCATGAAAACTGCTTTGCTCCTCGGAG